TATATATATATATATATATATATATATATATATATATACCATAAAACACATGACACACCATTGGACAAAACTGTTACAGCAAAGTGTGAAAAGGAGTCCTGTGTAGAACTAACATACATTCTTAAAAGTCTTTTCAATGTTTCCAAAGTTACTTTGCAGTTTTTGTCTTGCCTGTTCACCTTATTTATTGCATCTGAGTGCATTTTTTAACCTGCTAGATTACTCACACAATCAAGTTTATTGTTGAAATATATTGGTTTTCATGTAGGCTTTTCAAAAAATGACTTATTGGATATTAATTTGTAACTAATAAAAAAATCAGTGGCTCAACAGCATTTAAAGCTCATATGTGATAAAAAAAAATAGTAATTTCTGCAAAACACTAACAACTGTTGAGGGGTGTGCTGCTCTCCTCCAAAAATAACATATTTTTGGTCTGTTGTAGGATTTATTTTGTGCTCTTTTCTTTATAAATAAATCCAAGACAGATCATCTGATCATCCAAGTTGTCTGCTATCACATTCAAAAACACAAAGGAAGACTGTCCAACTTTGGAAAGTGTTGCCAGTGGCTTTAGGGAGGCTAAACCTGACAGTTACCTGACAGGGAAAACGCCCCCTGGTGGCTAAAAGATGAGAAGTTTTGCTTCACAAAAAGGACATTACAATCCCTCAAAATAGCAGTTTTCTATCATTAAATTACATCCTCTATTAATCTCTTTTACTAAACAGGTTTGGCCACGATAGATAGCAAGTCTTTTGTGAGGGAAACCTGGCTTGGATCCAAAAAACACATGAAATCACCAAAAAAAAAATGCTATCCATAGTTTTACTTTCAAATAGTTTGTCTTTTCTAAAATACAATTTCAATTAAACAGGTGGGCGACAAATAAGGTAACTCAAAGGAGTGTCTTGTTATTCTTTTGTCTTTAATTAGTAATTAAAATTTATTAGGTGCTTTGGAGAAAACAATTACACTTAGTGAGACACCATATTTTTCCACAACCTTTTCAAGCATTCTCTAAACATTATTGTTTATGCTAAAACTTAGTAGGAAATAAGGTAGGAATAACAAGTAGGAAGGGATTTGATCGTGAAGGGTTGAATGTACCCCAGAAGATGGTGTTTGCATGAATTAATCAGATTTCTTTCTACTATCTTGACTAGAGTGGAACAGATCGGCAGCCCAGAACTGTACTGGTTTGAGCCGCTGGCATAGCTGCTCTCTCCCCTGACATACAATTCAATTAAATTAAATGTATTTATATAGCTCCAATTTGCAACACATGTCATCTCAAGTTACTTCACAATTCAACCAGATCATATAGTCATACTGATTCAAAGTTTTCTATCTGGGGAAAAAAAACAGCTGATTGCATCAAATCATTGACTCAAAGAAAATCCCTCACATCAAGCATGCTTGTAACAACAGTGGAGAGGAAAAACTCCCTTTTAACAGGAAGAAACCTCCAGTTGAACCAGGCTCAGTGTGAGCGGCCATCTGCAGAAGCCGTCTGGGGTTCAAGGAGACAGAAGCAGAGATATAGAAAGAAGGAGAGATGTGAAAGGCAACTGTTCATTGGAACAGTCCATAAATAGCAGAACCAAATACTCTTAATTAAAAAAAACAAAATGTATAAACTTTTATAATGAGGATATCATATTTTATCCATTATAAGACAATAACCTAAATTATTGTCAGTCCCAAAGCGAAAGAATATGTGTAGGAGGAGTGAGTCAGCAGAGAACAGGGTAGAGCTGCTATTGTCAGTTCTATTAGAAAAAGACAGCACTATAACATATCTATTTATATAGTTTATTACAAAAATGGTTGATTTAGGAGTAAGTAACCCTTTAATGTCAAACCTTACTTTTTCGTTCACAATAGGATTGATTCATTCTTAACAAAGTGTTGAATCCTATTTGCAGTATTATAAGGGGATACCTGGGATACTGTGTTATTGTTTACCTTTGTTTTTAATTTTACTAAGATCTATTTTTGTTTTGTTTGGTTATTTACCTATCGTTGACTGACTGAACATCAGTTACAAAGCACAGAGGTGAAACTGCAGGGTGTTTGCCACAGATAGGCAAATCCATGAGATGAAAACCCAAAGATAACAGAGACTCTGTGACACTCACATTTTCACAAAGCACAAATGTACTACTTAGAGAGGAAGTAGTCAGTTGTAGACAAATGCTTATGTCACGACTAGAGTTTGCGTCCACCCACAGCAAAAAAAAAAAAAAACTGTCACACAGTTGGTTCCTCTGAGTTTTTTGCTCAGTGTCTCTCCCCACGTCGGTGCCTTTGTTTCTCTTTGACAGCAGCAGAGCCTTCGCAGAGGAACACTGAACAAACATTCCTGTCCAATAAATTCAACTGAGCTAACCTGTGCAGGACTATTGCTGGAAGGATGGTAAGTAAATAATTCATCACTGATCAAGTATAACTTTTTTTCTCACCCTCTGGTGAATTTCTGCATGTTATAATAAGGCGTCTTTAGTCAGGATGGACATTAGTCTGCCATTAGTTAAAATTCAGTTACCATGAATATAACTACAGTGGAAAGAGTTTTAATATTTAATACTATCATTATCATCAGATCATCCTGGTTTAGGCTAATATTTTATTTTTTGGATTGTAAAATGAAAAAAAACAATTAGTTATAGCTACAGGTTTGGGGTTTTCAGTTAGTCAATGCTTTGTTCTTAGGTTTAACTGTCTAAAGAAACACCACATGTTCAACCTAAGTGAAAGTCCAAAGTCTTCTCAGTTTATAGAAGTGATGGAGTTCTTAGTTGTTCCTTAAAATATATTTTCTGCATTGTTATTGTGTCAGATCCTGTATGAAGTACAACATGCAGCATTTAACCAGCCTCCTCACCCAATATATACGTTGGTCATCCAAAGAGTTATCTGGAAAAATGTACAGATCCTTTTTGATTTAATTTATAAAGTAATACATTTCACAAAACGCTTAATAGAAAAAATGTTTAAAATAGAAAATAAGAATAGTCAAGGTGTGATAAGGAAGTACGTGATGGTTTTAATGAGAAATAAATATTATATTTAGAGAGTGTGATCTCTTCTGTCATCATAGTATTAGAGCAACTGACTTAAAAAATATCAACAAGCTAATAAAGAAGGTTGGCTCTGTTTCGTCCTTCCTCTAGAGATGATTTTACAAAGAAGGGTTTGTATAAACAGAAGAACATCATGGAAGAGTGAGGATTCCCTTCTAAAGAAGGTTTAACAACAAAATAGTTCACAAAAAAAAAAAAAAAAACCTTTACAGATCCGCTTCGGAAGATCCTTCCTGTCCATAGTTATCAAACATCTACAAAAACTTTTTGAGCAAAAACCTAATGAGTGAGAACATTTTTTTTTTTTGGATTAATAACTATTTTTGAATTTAATCTAGCTTGAATGTAGATTGGTCCTGTTACCATATAAATGAATCTCTGCCAAAGCAAAAGGAAGACAAAAAAGCAAATCTTGCAAAATTCTCCTACAATTCTCTAACCGCGTTGAAAGGATGTCAGAAAACGACAATAAAAAACAACTGAACTCACATTAGGGTGTAATGACAGGTAACTGTTTTATTTTAGAGTTTATCTCTGATAGATTGGTGCTATGGGTAGAGAGCCATACTGCCCATATCAACAAACCTAAACCATACTAAAACACTCGAAAACAGACATTTAGTTCTATAACCAATCAGATGACGCAGACTATAACCTCCAAGTTCTTTTTTCTTATTGTTGGTTGTCGCTCCATTTTCAGAGGGGTTTCCAGTATGTCACAAAACACCCAAGTTTTTTACAAAATTGCAACTGAAGCTTTCACAATTTTTGGGGAAGCAAAATGTGCAACAGTTTAGCACAGAATACATTAAGTAATTTATAGATCTCTGTGGTGAAGAAACAGAAGTAATAAGATAAAATCTTTCCTCTTTTCCCCATCCCCCTATTTTGTATGAAACCAAATGTTATGCCTGTTGTGAAGGCATTTCAATAAGCTAGGGCTGAGATATCTAACTGACAGAAACAGACAGAAGAAGTAACTCTCAATCTAATAATGTATGCACAGGCACTGGTGGTTTTATTGTTCATTGATAATGATAAATGCTGGGGATAATATTATTTAGATCTTTATTCTTAAACATGAGCAAAAGTATAGAAACTTTTTACGAGTTTTCAAGTACTTGAAATATTATTTAATTTCATATTTGTGGATTTAGTATAGAAGAAAGGTTTTATTAATTAATTAAAGTTATTAGTCAGGTTAGCTGCTCCGATAGCTGCTCATTTTATTAACCAACATGTCAATTGTACATTTCTGACTGTTGCTTGAAACATTCTTAAATTTATAGGAATAATGTGCGTGCTTCTTTAATTTCCTTTTTGAGTATCCATATTTTAGCAATCCAGAAACAGCCACAAAACAGATTCATTTTTTTAAAGCAAGTGATGAAGTAAAAGGATTTCTGTCAACGATTTGATTGGCAGTGCACAGAAACAAGTGGGGGAGCGGAAGTTTTCTGTTGCTGTTTGCTATATACAGCTTGAGAAACTTTCTGTCACTCCAGCACTTTCTGTGGCATCTCATTAAAAAGCCTTTAGGAGGAAGTGTATGGTGGAAAGTTTTAGAGGTTTTGAATATGTAGCTTTTAAAGCCTTAGCTTCCTTCATACGGGCAACAACCTCATGCCATGTAGCAAACCATTAGCAGAGCGGATGGCTTGAAACCGTTTGGATAATCATGTCTGCCTAATACCCCAGCACCAAACCAGAGTCATAACCTGAGTGAGATCAAATGGGATTTACTGTCAACAATGTGACTAGCAGTCTACAAAGCAGTTTTAATATATTTGATTGCTCAATATTCCAACACACATCATAGATGAGGTGTATGGAGACATGTTGGTAAAACAATCTAATGACTCTTGAGTTAATCATTCCAAGTATTACAAATCAATGGTGATTTTATTATCTTTATTGTGATAATTTTGGCTTTCAAACTAAAAAAAAATTAGGAGTGTCTTCCAGGATAAGAATATCAAAAACTAAAATTTCCTCTAGTTAAAACATTACATTTTCTTTCAAAAAGGGGTTTCTGGTAGATAAAATTCACCAGCATTAATATCCATGCTATATTTTAGATGTAAATCTAACACAATATTCCAGCTGAGCTTCACACTGCTTTTAATTCCCATTTGCCTTGACATTGTGCACCCTGTAGCTTTCCGTGTTTTTTTTGCCGTACAGTTAGATTAAAAGCAATCCTGTGTCCACAGGCTCTTATCTCTACTTCCTGGGTAGGTAACTCTTGTCTCCATTCGAACGGGCCTCATTAAAATAGGAGCGGCTGTTGCTGCTTGTTCAGCCTTTGGGAATTTGAAAACTCCAGCGTGTACAGTATGTAGTCTTAGTTACAATGCGGCATTTTGGGCAGTGGTACACTACTTTCTGTTTACACTCATGGATGTTTAGGTGACAAACTGTCAGGCCTCAATGTTTACCACAAAAAAGTATAATAGCCAGTTTTTTCATGCTATTAGTTACTGCACAAATTAAGAAAAACACAATTTTAAGTGTTGCACTTACATTCATTATCCTGCAAGGGTTGACTAAAACTTAGAATAGCTCTATCCACGTCTTCTTGTGAACTAAAACTGAAAATCAAAAGCCTTTGCAATAGTTTTGAACTGTCTGTGTTTTTGACAAAGGCAGGCCAGGAAGCTGGTGCAAATGTGGTTTGACAAGTACAGACATTAACGTTTATTGGCCAAGACCAGCCGGCCAGCAGTTAGTGTTCTTCTATTCTGCACAGTGCTTTGCAGAATAATTAACACCCACTGAAATGCTGCACTCTAGGTCATGCTGAATATTTAGTTGTAAGAGATAAAAAAAAAAAAAACAACACACACACTTATTTATTTTCACAGTTTCACTCTACTTTGTGTTGCTCTTTTTCATGAAATCCAATTGAAATGCTTGTGGTTATGACCTGAAAAATGTTGTGGGGGTACAAAGACCTTCGCTTGGCAGTGTCAAGTTCAGAATTACATAAAAACAAAACCATATGTTTAGTTGATTGTTGGTATAGAAATATGGTTTCATTCATTTGCTTCTTGCATATTTAACAGTCGTTTTAAATACATCCACCCCTTATTTTGAATCTTTTAATCTTTATTTGCTTCACTGCTGAAAATTTCATAGTTCCAGCATTAAGGCTGAAAGACTCCAAAGCAAAAACCTGTAGGGAAAGCTTTAACTTTTTTATTTTTGCAAAATTTGATTCAGAACCTCTCAATTTATAATGATTGCTGAAATGGTCAGGCTTGCAATCTCATCTGCAGGAATTGTACTAAAAGACTGTTAATGTCACTAAAAGTATTAAAAGTTGTTAAATGAAAAAGAGCTGGCTTCAGTGTCCTCCTCTCACTTCTCACCTTTTAACATATTTAAGCCACATGTTTACAACCCTGGTATAAACTGACATGAGCCTCATATGGGTTTCTGTAAACTTGGTGCAACTGACCTAAGAACATAAAAGAAAAAAAAAACTGACTGGTGGGTCAGCTAACAAGATAAAAAGCACAGTGTATTTTTTCTTTGCAGGAATTAGGGTGTCTTTTTTTAGTTTTGCAACTTTCTGTTCCTTTTTAAACTTTTATTTCTCAGTCTGTACATCATGTTATTCCCTTTTTTTTGACTAGCAGTTTTGGTTTCTGTCTTTGTCAGTTGATGTTAAAGCAAAGCTAAACTTTTACTCATCTATTGTAGTGTATGGTCATAAAGTGGATGGAAATCTGGAAAGTGTACCATGTAAGAATGCCTCTGTAGTTTAGTCTGGCTTTTATTATCTATGCCATTTAAGGTCAAGCATTTTCTTAACTGTTGTGACCTGAAGGTTATTCATGTTTTTAATTGGTTCCAGGATAGTTAAAATGCTCTCATTGTGGTATTCCCTAGCCATATTGATTTCTAATTAATCAGAGCAGCAAGTTATAGTGTAATCCCATATACCTGCTTCATTCCACTGTATTGATTCACTGTTTTTTTTATATATAGTTTTTGACTTTGATTTTTGACTAAAGCTCTTAACTGCCTTGCCCTGTTTGCAGAACCACCTTTGGCTGCAATTTCAACTTCAAAATTTTGGAGGTTTGTCTTTGACAACAGTTCCTGTTTAGAAAATAGCTGTAGCTTGTTAAAAGTAGGTGTGAACTTCTACTTTTAAGCCTTATCACAGATGATTAACAATGTTGGGGTAAAAAGTTAAACTAGGCTTTTTATACACATGGCTATTATTTGAGATTAACATTTCAATTGTAGCTCTGGCTTGTCTTTTATTGCCTCCAAATGGGTCTTCTTCCTCTAGTTTCCCACGTCAATCATCTATCTTCTCATGCAACTCGGACAAATTTTCTTTCTACATCTTTTCTCCGTTTTCTTTGCACTAGAAATACATCCAAACATTATACTGCCATTATACCCCCTAGTTTCACAGCAGAAATGGTGTGTTGTTCCTTTTCTTTAGATTATTTTGATTGAAAGCTTACATTATGCTCTTATTTGTCCAGGCTACCGTCTTCCATGTGTGTAAACAGTATTTCTTACTACACACTGTCGAATTATGCTTACTATGTTATTTCTAATGGCTGTTGGTTTTGCTTGAAATTAAATGCTGACCAAAGATTTTATTTTTTAAAATGAATGGTTCCAGGTCACAGATTAGTGGGTCTGCTGTAGGTTTATTTTTTGATCACTAATATTTAAAATAATTTATCTTTATAAAGCAACTGATTTTTTATTGTTTCAAGAGGTGGGAATATGATAAGCACTAAATGTTTCAAATATAACTCTTTAATTTTATTTTTTTATTTTTTTTTTCAAGGCAAACAAGTCTGATGTAAAGGCCATCATGGCCCGCTTTCAGGCAAGCGGAGCAAGCGTCGATGACTCCACTCCAGTGGGACGTCCAAAAGCACCCCTGCAACCCGTGCTCTCCTCTGGCCCAGCAATGCAAAAGAAACCTGTTTTGGAGAGCCTGTCAGGCGGTGCAATAAACTCTCCCTCAAAGCCACCTTTTCTGAAAAGCACACAATTCACTAAAAGTGACTCAGATGCACATGAACCAAGCAAAACTAAAGCGTTGGCAGGAAAATTTGCCAACTCCATAGATGATACCACCATCACCAAACCACCAGTTTTTAATAAAGTACAAACACCCTTGAAACCACCTTTTTCCCAAGCTGCTGAAGCTAAAGTACCTTTGCATAAACCGCCTTTTAATAAACCTCCATTGAACTCCACTATGCCTGAAACCAAACCTGTGTTTCCAAAGCCGCCTGGTGCACTTAACTCCAAACCAAGCTGGGTCAAAGAAGACAGCGGAGGTGGTGCTGCAACAAACACCAGCCCAATGCCTCTCAAAATACCTAACTCACTTCAAAAGCCTTCCAGCAACGTTCTAAAAATGAAGCAACAGAATGAAGATCAGCCAGAAACAAAGACAGACACTGCAAGCAAGTTTCCACCACAAGCAAAGATTACTCCTAAGCCCACCAATAACTTCAAGAATGCTCAAAGTTTGTTCAATAAGGAAAAGGACCCATCTGAGCAGTCAGAGAGTGGTGGGGCCAACAAACCATCTGTCTCTGCCATGAACTCTGCTTTTCCTCCCAAACCTCCAGCCAACAAAAAGCCAAGCCTGAAGAAGCCGTCCAAAGATCCTGCCAAGGCTGATGGTATTAACGGTGACATTCCTCCAGGCCTAAAGCGCAACCCTCTCCCCAACAGTTTAGCTTTGGGTCCCCCTCCGGCAAAACCTAATCGACCTCCCAAAGTAGACCTACAGAGCTTCAAAAGAACCGCAGAGGCCCCTACAGAAGGTAAGTTCAATACGGAAGTGATTTCTTTGACACAAAAATACTATTAATAAAACTACTGCTTTGTACCCCTGAGATCAGGAAGTACATTAGAGTCCCCTTACCTCAGTTCCTATGGTTTGCATTGTGCACAGTGGTTTGCATTTTTCTTAATATTACATCTGGATGTAAAGGAAACGTTGAATGCTTCCTTTTCAATTTCATAAACTTAGCCTTGCTAAATGGATAAACACTAGGGAAGCATCATACAAACTATCTGTTGAATATTCTACTACCTAAAGCAATATCAAGATATGCGTTAACTTTACATAGATATTTTTGGGCAGTGAGAGGAAACCAGATTTCCTGAAAAGACCCTTAACATACACAGCATAGCATATGCAAACTTCAAAAAGCCCCTAGGCCAGGCTTCAAACATAGGCCTGTCCTGCTGTAAAGCAAGAGTGCTGAAAATTGCAGCCATTTATCAAAAGCTATACGTTCATAAATGCAACAACTAGACACCCACAACTGCCACCCCGACCCCTTATAGAAAACAACAAAATGGGACTTATAAATATAACAGACTCACAAGGATTTTGAAAATATCATGAAATGCACATTGATATTCAAGCACTCTTTTTCCATTTTTCAAAGGAGAACGAATACTTCATGTTTTGTTAGAACAGCTTTAATTGCATAACTAAACCTTCAAAGGTTGATGATTTCTAAATCAACACGTTAAAACCTAACTGGAAGGATTAAGTTTTCTAATCATTGGATCCTGTTAAAGTTTAACTGGTCATTTTTTTTATTTAAGTTTAATGTTTGCATGCCTTGTAGGACATTTCCTGTATATCAAGTGTAGAATAAGGCTGTACTGTGAAAGGCTGTTCAAAGTGTGAACAGGACTTGCTTCACACATTTGTGTGGTTTTAGTGAAATCTTTAGTTAATGTGTAACAGAGTAAAGTTAAAACTTTTTGAGCATCATTGCTTTTAGACAAATTGTCTTATTATAGCAATCTTTTGCCTCCTTTTATCTCTTATCAAACTTTTCAGTTCGTCAGAACCCTGCTTATGCTTCATAAATGCTGCTGTGTTAAAATGCTTCAAATGACCGGCAGAACATTAACAAACACACTTGGTTCCTCTATTTGCCTCAGCTGAGTTCCCCATCCAGTTTCTCCTTTCTGCCCCCCCCCCTTTTGACAGCTGAACTGGTTTCACCACATGAGGAAGTAAGTTCCGGCAAAAATTATTGTTTCGAGCCAAACTCTGTTTTTGGCTGCAAACCCCATTTGGATCAATTTCTGACAAATATTACCAGAAACACTGAGCTATGGTTTAAAAAAAAAATGGAGAATAAGAAAGTTCACTAAAAAACTGGGGCTCTAAAAGGAACTTATATACCTATAATATCTGTTACAACACTTTCCTCTCATCTTAATATTTGGCTGATATTAAGCATTATCCTTAAAAGTAGTCAGCATATTTACTAGTCTTGCAGCTTCTGTCATGGTTTGACTAATATATAGTCCTACAAAAATCCATCACTAAACAAAACCCACTAAGCCATGTTTGCAGTTTGCCACAGGCCATGTAGGAACACAGCAAATCCCTGTAGAAGGCGGCGTATTTTTAGGACTAAATGCAAAACAGGAGGTGTAGCAGAAAACAGACACATGATGAAACGTGGTGGTGGCTGCATCATTGTGTGAAGTAGCTTTCTCCAGCAGATGCTTAAATGAAATAGCTGAAATTATACAGCAAAAAAAAACAAAAAAACGTATTTAAAAAAAAATGTCGATATGCTTCAAACTCCCATTAAAGATTCTGAAAACTGCTTCTCAAATGTAGGTTAATTCTTTATACCTTTTGTTTGATAATATACTGTTTTTCTTATGACAAATTCCTGAATTCAGACATGTTGTTGTGTATTTGCAGATTCCTGTACATTAGTTTTTTTTTTTCGTTATCTTTAAGAAAATGCCAATTTTCCTAATCAGTTCTCTTTGGATGCAAAAGTTTTCCAAATTCAATTGAATGAGATAGTTCTAAAAAGTTAAAATATTAGCACAGGTAGCATTTAGTGCCACTAGGAGCCGATTTTGAGAGCTGTGTTTTTTTTTTATATTTTTGTAATGTAAGGTGCTGCTTTTAAGAAATCCACTGTCCCAGCTCCTTTGGCACCTAACCTTAGCAACCAGACACAGAATGTACCACAGAGTCAAGCACCACCAACGTTACCGCCAGTTCTACCTGCAAGACATGTAACCACGTAAGTCCTGAAAAGACCAAATGTATTGGTGATTAAGATACACTTTATATGATCTGGGTACACGTAAAGTTAAAAGCAGCTAAATCCCAACTATTCTCTCTAGAAACCAGTCAGATGATACCCCTCCTCCTCCTCCTCCTGTGTTCAGTAAGTATATTGATGGCGTATACATTTAATACCATTTGAAGGGTTATAAGTGCCAAGATATTAAATGTGAGAGTAAAAGTGAAACAAGCATGCGCTGCTGAACCCTACGAGTCATTTTGTTGGTCATTTGCATGTGATATCCATCCCATTTACTTCCATTTAATTTATATGCTGAGAAAACACAATAATCAGGCGTTGCAGCAGCATTTTTGATAGTCATTCATGACTCATTTTCATGGTAAAACTAGATTTTCATTTTCTTTCCATCTTTTTTTCTGCTTTACAGGCCATCCGAGTCAGAGGGCAAAGGTATGTTATTCTATTTGCTTAAAATTTACTATTGAAATATAATCAAATATATATTTATTTTAGTAATCCGGTTTGAATATTAGGACTCATTTTGAATGGATTCGCCATATTTAGATCTGTTTGAAAATGTTAAAGCTGTTGATTAGAAGATAAAGCTGATAATAATCTAAAATTCCTCTCAGTAAATTAAAACCAATGAATAAAAGATTTTAAACACAGAAGAATCAGCTGACCAAAACGTTTATCCATATATTATCCAGTTCATGTACTCAATACTTTGATGAGGCTTTTATATGAATTACTACATCCATGCTGCATGATATGGAGCTAAAGGTTATCACCATGAGCTGTTGAGGAGCCTCAGGTTGCTTTAAGAGCTGCATTCAAGTAATCCATTCCGGTAGCCTGTGTTGATAGAAATGCTGCCTCTACCTTCCTCGACAATACTCCATTGATCTCTATGGGGTTTAGGTAAGATACATTTGCACAAAAAAAGCTGTATCTTCTTAAAGGTTTGTTAGCAGAGGAAAGTGGTCTGGGAGCCTGATAGAAGGCTGCACTGACATTTAAATGAAAATGATAACTTTCATAAAATTATAACTGTCCATTCTAGTTATAACTAATGTATGATATCCCTGGTGGAGATTAGTGCGGTCACACAAGGGATGTTCCAGTTGTACAAAATGTTGCTGATACATCTTGAAGCACATTAGCGCTGTGGGATGCAGAACTCTTCTTTTGCATCTGGCTTGCTTCCTTTTTTAGGAGTGTTAATGACTTTCTACTGGAAAATTTCTAAACTTTTTATGCTTAGGAATATTTCAATTGCTGAAACCACTGAAATTAGAAGTTTTCCTGGATATTCTAATTAATTAAGATACACATGCAAAGATGTTAAGGCCCATACTGGTAACTATACAATTTAAGCTAAGTTGATAGATATACAAAGAAATTGTTTGTTTCACAATTTATGAATCAAAGCTTTGGAAATGTTATCACTAGATTACTTGTGGGTGATGTGTTGGATATGTGTAAAAATAGCATCTGCTTGATGGTTTTAGTGAGGAAAAATGCATACTTCACTGAATTCCAATGAGATTTGAGTAAAAAAAAAAAAAAGCTGAGTTGATGTAAATCTAAAATGAATAAGATGATATAAAAGTGAGGACAATATTTGATTAATCGGAAACTCACCATGCTAATAGATGGCACTGAGAGTACTTTACAGACCAGCACACATTTCAGCGTGACTAAAAATAATCCCTCTGCACATTTCATTGCCCTGTTCACAAATTCATATTTATATCTGCAACCCCAAGGTGTAAAGACAAGTGCTCTGACTTTTAATTATTATTATTTTTTTTTCATTTTTGGAACAGTAAACTTAGTAAAACCAAGAAAATAAAGTATCTAAAAAACGATTTTCTTTAAACCATGAAGGATTTTCATGATTTTTTTTTAAAGACCTGCCATCTTCACTTTAAAGGAAAAAAAAGGCAAATGCATAACGCTGTACCCGCTGCAAAGAGGGAACTCCTATTGAACACGTGCGAGAGCATGCGCAAGCCCAATTCTGCTCATGCACGCTCTGTTTAAAAGTTGCTGTTGACAATCTTACTTTCCAAAAGAAGAATGGCAATTTTTCCACTATGTCAGACTCACGTAGGACGGCCTTATGTATACATATCACAGAAAGATTGACAACTAGGAGGACCACTTATTTAGGTGATCCACCCAGAAAAGATATATACCATTATATCTTTACCTTTATTACCATTATTATATTTATACCGTTAATAATAAACATTTTTAAAATAAATGTGTTCATGTCTTCCATTCAGGAGGAACTTGATGACGATGAAGAAATGTATGAAGATCTGGATGATCGATGGTGAGGAAATTAATCCAGAGAACTAAATATCTTAAGAGTTGGTTGTTTTGTTTAAGCTACTTTATATTTGTTTAGCAAAATGTCATTTCATTGTTTACATTTAACATTGCTGTTTTCATTCAGTTAGTTATTTCAGCCTTTTAAAAAGCTTATTACACATTTCTAATAGAAAGTGGGATGTGGCCCTGTTAGTACTCTCTGCTGGTTCTGCAACAGTTCAGGAAACAATTAGTCTTTATATAAGTTTAATTTAAAGATTTAAGGTAGAGTTTTCTTCACTTGTTTCACTTTATTTACCTACTTCATCACATTTGTTGTCTATCTTCTACAGGGAAGAGGCAAACCAAGAGAAAAAGAAAGACGATAAAGAGGAGAAAAAGCGACTGGAGGCGGCAAAGAAGGAACAGAAGGAGCGCGAAAAGAAAGAACAAGAAGCCAAGAAGAAGTTTAAAGTATTTGAACACAGCTGAATCTGTTCTGAGTTCGAAAGGAAGATATTTTCACACAAAAAACTAAAAAGGGATTTGCTAACTGGATCCTTATTCATGTCTGTGTTTCTCAGATAGATTCCATGGAGGTCATTCAGAAAGGAAAAGCTATCACAGATTGCAAAGGCAGCAAAATGGATCTGGCTGTGAAGCAGGGAGACCAACTGGATATCATCCGTGTTGGGGGGAACCCGGAGGGGAAGTGGTTGGCACGGTCAGCAGATGGATCATGTATGTTTTTAAAAACGTATGGTCTTAAACGAAGTCTGTTTGTATTAACTGAGTTTTTATATTTAGTCTGAACAGATAAATATACATCAACATGTCTTAGGATGGAAAATATATCAAAACATTTTAACAAAGATATGAGCAGAAAGAAACTAAAAGAAACTGCAACATTTCCAATACGTCCGACTTAAGATATAATATGCTATTTATTATTTATAACAATTTATAGTTTTTGCTTGACTCACAGTGATGTATAGTACAATGTATTGCTCTAAACCTGCTCAGGTAAATATATATTGCATATATTTACCAACTTGTTCCAAAGAAAGAGGAGGAAGAAGGAACAAGGTTTATCCAAAAGACCCGCCATTTATAAGCACTCTGTAACAAGCTCACTCAGTCTGTAGTGCATCTGTCACAAATGACCAGTTGTAATTACGGTAAATGTTTTTAACTAAAATTGAAGATGGATAAAGCTAAACTCCTGGTAGTAATCCTGCATCAATTCTACAAACATTGTTACTCTAATGAGCAAGCTCCCTCTTTTTTTGTAGTTGTTTAGCATTAGTCTGAGGAAACCATCAGCAAAAATTCTGTAAATCAACTGTAAATAAATTATGCACCTGAATAGATTCAGTTAATGAATAAAATTGGTGAGAATTTTCATAATAGAACTTTGATTATTATTCCTTGCAGGATGAGAACAGACAGAAAAAACACCAAATTATGTTTTGGTTGACCTGGTCTGCTCTGATAGAGATGTGTTAACTGTTTAGACATCTTTCACAGCTAACGGTGTCCCTGGGAACAGTTTGGGGAAAAATGGATCAAAACAGTTATGAAGTAATCAGATTTGGGTTGGACCAGGCAACCTAGAGAACCAGTGTGTATCTCTCCTCCAGTTTGATGGGCAATGGTGCATCTGTTTCACACTAGACATTTTCATGGACAATAAACCAGTTTAGCAAACAAAGTAAAAGAGAATGAAGTTTTTGTTCTCTTTGTTTTTTTTTTTTTTTTTAGCTTTTTTATTGTAATTACACAGTCACAAGTACAGAGCAACATAATTAACTTACTGCATCTAACGCATATCCTTAGGGAGCAGTGGGGTGCCATTGTGCAGCGCCCAAGAAGCAGAATGCCCTAAACACTAGGCTGCACTTCCCTGTGATAGCCAGAGGTGGCAGACTCTCAATATAACAGCTTATGAACACAAATGGTCTTTTTGTTGTTTTTGTTTTTTTTTTGTCTTTTTTTACACCAACTCCACTGTTGGTGTTAGCATAAGTCAGCATATATAAAATGTAAATGTAAATCCCTTTATTGTCCCACAATGTGGAAATTAATTTTCTGCATTTTAACCCTTCCCCGTGGGGAGCAGTAGGCTGCCATTGTGTGGCGCCCGGGGAGCAATCAGGGGTTAAAGGTTTTGCTCAAAGAATCAGAGGTGAGACTGTGGGGATCGAACCGGTTATTTGCAACCTTGCTCTAACTTTCTCTAACAGCTAGGCCAACACTCCTCCATATGTATAGTATATCCCCCATATCCCTAAAAGGTTACTTTGATACTACTATCAGTAGGAAAGTCAAAATAGGGAAATACTGAATAATCAAACAGCAGATACAGTTAAATGCTTGCTCCTTTTTTAAGCTCATTACCCTAACTCGTCAACCTCCATAGTACCCAAGCCTTGGTTTAGAGAGGTGGTCTACTATGAGTATATCTGCGTCATAGAAGTACATTTTCAGACTACTTATCTAGGCTTTAGATCATGATAATATTTTCCCTTCCATATATATTAATTTAATCTGTTTGCATGTCAATCAGAACCTCCGTTTTTTACTCTTTTTATGCAGTTGGCTATGTCAAAACAACCTCAGTGGAAATTGACTTTAACTCCTTAAAGAACCGGCCTGCTCAGCCAGAATTTGAACCTGAAATCTATGATGACATCGACGTATCGCCAGACACTGGGTAAAAAAGAACTGCTGTTGAACTTTTCTTAATTTGTTTGCACATAGAAGTGGCTGTTATTTTTAAGCTGCTTACACTGATTATTTTTCACAGTTGGTTAATAATTAAACTCTTCTTTTCAGAAAACTATTTAACGAGGCACTTTGCTGCTTTTAAAATGCTAGATTTGTTAAGAATAAAGTGAACTGAATACGAATTTCATGTTTATATCTAACATCTTTCTCTTTCTGCAGCAGTGCCAAAGGACCTGCAGGTAAAACTCTTATTTTTTCAATATTTTATTAAATCAAATTACTCATTCTGCATCTAATTCAAGGTTGCATCACTACTAAAATGCTTTGTGGTCATTTGTTATCCTATTCTGGTAGTTGTCCTACCTCCCCCACCAGGTGAAGATGGTGAAATATATGATGATGTAGTTGATCCACATCTGGAAGTCAGGTGGGATTTAATTAAAGAATTTAAGAAAATTTACATCTTTGAATCTCTTTCATAAACCTAAACAGCAAGAACTCAACAGAAAATGCGACACATGGGGAAATTAAAGAAGTAACCCCCCCCCAAACAAAGTCCAATATTTCTGTTCTTGGGTGACTTTGCAGTTCCTTTGAAAACCAGCCCTCACCCGCGAGGAACCGCAGCTTCCTGCGGATCTTTGACCGAAACAGACGTTCTCCCAGCTCTAAAGTGTAAAATACGCTCCTTAGTAAGACTGATCACAGACCTCCTGTCAGCTGTTCTTAATTTCTAATAATTCAGCCATATCTTGTGGCCTAAAATCTCCCTTAAAATGACTGAATTTTACCAGGCCTTCTCAGATCAGCACTAAATCAACCACTTCACTTTGATCAGCATGAAACCGAACGATTTGAACTCAGTTTGATTGCTGCAGTTCTAACTGCTTGAATCTAAAATAGATGTTTAGGTGTGCATGTTTCATCATCTGTGAATGTATTAATCATTATGAATGATTTGCATGTGACTGATTACAGCATGGCATACTGAGGCATTAACAGCTTTAACATGAATACTTATTAACATGTAATGTATTTGCATGGGGCTTTATTTTGGCTACTTAACAACAAATATAAGCTATGTAACTATAATATGTTATAATTTGCTGATGATATTTTAACTATATGATTTCTGTGGAGCCAGACTGCCTGCACCTGACCAGTTTGCTGCACCTGGAAATTCAGGTATTTTTAATATTTAACAGTCACATATTACAGTGTTTGATCAATGTTACATTTTATTCAATCTATCTTGGCTATTATAAGGTAATTATTCTTTTGAGTTTATTTATATAGCACAGACCGCAACACAGGATATCTTAAAGCACTGAACAGAGACAATTCAATCAGATTATACAGACAGATAGGTTGAAAGTTTTGTATCTAAGGGAAACCAGCTGATCGCCTCCAGATATTAACTTTCTAGGTAGACCTATTTTTAGTAACAGGAAAAGTCTCTGCTGATCTAAAGTACTGAATATATGCTCTATCTACTCCTTCATAAGTTTCACTTTTCCTTCATTAAATATAATTTAAACTTAAAAACGCATACTTATTCTCTGATTTTACGCATGCCACACAGATCGACCTGGAGCACCGATCGACGAGGAGATTTATGATGATGTCGACTCTCCAAATGCACCCCCTCCTCCTCCCATCAGCAGGTAAAGCTGCATCAGTTTTATGACAAAAAAATGTTTAAATATTTTTGCAGCAAATTAGATTTTGGTGTTAATTTCCAGCCACTTGTAATTTATCCTCCTCTTTACACCATTTTATCTGTCAAGCCTCCCTGTCATGAAAGGCAAAAACAAAGCTGAAGACATGGACCCAAAGAAGCAGAAAAAGTTTGAAAAGGAGGAGAAGGAGTTCAGGAAAAAGTTTAAAGTCAGTTGTTCTTTTGACAGTCACATGGTATATAATGTGTGATGTTAAAGCTTACAATGCTGTTTTGATTCTGCTTCAGTACGAAGGGGAGATAAAGGTACTGAGCCAGGTGACGATCACCTCGACACTCAACGTCAAGAAGTGGTCTGGGAAAGACCTGCCAGTGAAAGCAGGGGAGGAACTGGACGTCATCGTCAAAGCTCAGGGTGACAAACTAATCTGTCGGAACGAGGAGGGAAAGTGTGAGTATCTCCTGAAAGTTTGCATACACTAATTACGCCTATCAGTATAGGGAATTTTTTCCCTTTAATGCATGGAACCATCCTTTTTCAGGGTGGAATGATGTGCAACATACAGTCTCAATGACATTTTAAATGGAAGAATGAGTTGCATAAATTTGTGATGACATATTGAATTTTTTTTTTCTATCCATGTCATTGGCTGTTTAGAGCTGCAAATTTGATCAGAATCAGAAGTCTTGATTTGTCATTGTTCCTCAAGGGTACAACAAGATTTTTAGCTGCTCAAAACAATATAAAACCAAATAGTGCAAAAAAATATTGAAATAAAAAGAAAATAAACATTATTAAATTTTTTTTAAAGAGTTGCGCAGGTGCAGACAGAAAACATGTTTCACCCATCCGTTGATTCCAGAAAAAGGTTAAAGAACTTCGTAAAGTCTTCTATTTCTAATATTTCATTACCATTTTGCAGCATAATCCGTACGACTCGCAGTAAAATGCCCCTTCAGCGTTTTTCTGCAACCAACTTGCTTCACAGTAACTGTGGTTTTGTTAGGTTTGACATGATCACTTTGTTTCCTCCAAACCCACTTCTTGTGGCTATCTTGTGACTCATCAAACCATAAAAACATTTTTTCACAAGGCATCCAGACTGTTCATAAGACTAACTTCAAATTTTAGATTACATAAAAATGTTGCTTTTTATATCAGCTGCTTTATTTATGGTGAACACTCTGTATGTGGGGATTTAAAACTGGCATCACTGTGAGCAGAGGCAATGGTATTGTAATGAAATGTTGTGTCAAGGCTCAGAACTGAGGACTCAGATATCGAAGCAGACAGATTATCGTAATACACTTAAGTGTTTATTAACTTAAGTCAGATCAGCAACTCAGCAACAAGGTCAAGGTGTCAAAGGCCGGAATCTCTGCAGAGGGAAAACTCAGGTTAGTGACCATGTAAATCTGACAGAGGGCGATTATGAGAGTGTGAGTCCCTAACCTGGTTTTAGAGTTCAGCTATTACCTAGAAGAAGGAGTAGAATCCAGCCGGATGGCTAACAAAAGCACATGGCGAACCCAGCCAAGAGAGTTCCAGGAGCAAGACCCTGAAGACTGCTGAACTGACTCATGAACAGACCCAAGCAGACAAAGGAAAGTAGGAGTTTCCAGAAGGAGATGCCCAATCCGCTGATGAAGAGGTTAACAGGAGTCCAGACCAGAAGATCAGAGATCCGAAGAGGCACCGAAGGGAAATCCAAGTTGAGGTCAGGAGGCAGATCCAGGTTCAGTTCACAGGCAGAAACTGGCAGGAGTCCGAAGACAGGTCAGGCAAACAAATCCGAAACAGGAACAGGCAGGCTTAAAGGTCCGAGGACAGAACTGGTCAGGATCAGGCAATCAGAACAACAACAGCTACACTAGAGAACGCTCATTGAAGGCTCGAATAATCTGGCACAGATGACTGGAAGAAGGCAGGTGAAATAGAGGTAGAAGCAGGTGGATAAGATGAACAGCGATGAGAAACTGGGTGGATCAAGACAGGTGAATGGAATGAACCATTAAGCCAGTCATCAGTGCTAAGATCATTACATCCAATCCAATCCAATCCACTTTATTTATATAGCACGATTTCAATAAACACAAGGTTTCCAAAGTGCTGCACAAAAAGATAAAATAAATAAAAATAAAAGTAAATAAGATAAAAAAATAAAATAAAAGCACTACATGTTGAGCCATAGCGGTTTCCTCTTCTCTAATTGTGAAACTCTGGGTCAGATGGTAAAATATCTCTTGGTCTTTTCTTCAATTGTGTTACTTAATAGCCTCCTTTGATTACAATTGTACAGCCTGTGTCTAAACTCAAAAATCTCCATTTTACAGTTGGTTATGTTTCAACCAGCCATGTGGTCGAGTAAGTACCGAACATATTCACATATCCCTAAGAATAAGACATTTAACTTAAACTACAAGCACTAATCAATTTGTTTGACCTACAGTGATGGCGAAATCTATGACGACATTGGCGGAGATGGTTTGTCAAATCAATTCTATTGGATGTATAAGACATTTTCTATTCAGGTAATTAATTATTTTGAAATATATATATCTTCTTTCTCTCTTTGTTTTAGACTGCATCTATGACAATGACTGAGAAAAGTTCCGCAGTGGCATGAATACTCCGAGACTGTTCACTTGTTATTATTGGTTATTTATTATGTTCCTTGGTGGTACTTTGGGAGATACTGTATAAATTGCAGCAAAATCACATTTAGTCCTCCTGTTCTAATTTATATTATATGTGTTGAAGATAATAATCATATGAGATCCAGATACAGGAAGAAGTAGAAGCAAGAAGTCATTTGAACAATCAATTGTTTTTTTGCACGTTTGGATCATGGAAAATAAAACAAAAAGAAAAGCAGAAGAGAGGTGAAGTGCAAAACATCAGTTAGATCGTCAGTATTTTATTGTTTCCTTTTTTTAATGTTTTCTCCTTTGGTTGACGTTCAAAACTCTACAGCACTGAATTTTAAAGTTCATTTTCATAGTTTTGCTGCACTGTAGAAACAGAAACAGTATATTAATTATTAACTAATTAAATATTAAGCATTTCTTGCTTTATCTGATATATCTGAGATATATTATTTGTAAATTTTTTTTCTACTTAATCCTAAACAGAAATTCATTTGCTCAGTAAATTTAGGTGCCAGATAGCTTTCGATGTCCTGTGCAAATGATGAAATGCATTGTTCGTTTTCATATTTTTACATCTAAAGTAAAAATCTAAAGTACATCTAAAGTGCTATTATGAAGACACTGACATGTTGAAATGAGTAGCACTTTTGGTTATCCAAATAAAATAAAACCTAGGCCTCTGTCACACCTGTGTATGCTTATAACATCTGGAAATATTAGGAATGGAGGCATTATCTTGTCCTTAAAGGAACCTCTGTGTCATCCAGTGGCAAACACAGGTAACTACAGCCTTCATCAGCATGTCCAAATGTTTCTAATTCTTCTTATGAGTAGGAAAACATGTATTGCTGTTATGTATTGTTATCTACTCTTCTTGCACAAACAACTGCTGACTTACACATTTACTCTCAGAATAATGTGAAACATTAAGTGCAAAGTTAATATCCTTGCAGGCTTGTACTAACATGTTCAAAATAAAGCAGAATTTGTCTCTATTTGTCCACAGTTGTTTGCATTATTTTCTTTCACTTTATCTGTCACTGGAGCAAATGAACACAATCCCATAAAACATAGACCCAAGTGGATCTTATTACTAAGGCAGGTGTGCAAACTCTAGATGTAAATTTACATGGATCTTAAATTTGATTATGGACGTATGAACCAATGGAAAAACAGTAGTTACACTGATAGGTTTACATTCAAAAATATACAATGTTTAATTTTCAGCAGCAATTTCAAATTGAAATTAAGCTCTTAATAATTTATTTTTGAGCTGTAAAAAGAAATGAAAAGAAAACAGCTAATCACACTAAACCAACTGTCAAACTTAGCGGTTGTAGCATCATTCTGTAATTGCCTTCTGCCTCAGACATGAAGAAGACAAACTAACTGACAGGTGTATATATTTATATATGTTCTTATGTCTATATGTATCCCATATGCTGACTGGCACTGTAGACAAGGATAATCAACATATCAAGATAGAATAGAATAGAATAGAATAGAATAGAATAGAATAGAATAGAATAGAATAGAATAGAATAGAATAGAATAGAATAGAATAGAATATCCCTATATGGGGAAATTCATGCATTACAGCAGCAAAAAGGTTATAGAGGTTATATACTTTCACACAAATGTGCACCTATGAGAAATGTATAAGAATAACATACCAGTGAACAGTTAAAAGATAAACAATAAAATACTGTACTGTAAAGTGTTTTAACAATAGATAATAAAAGATAGAGTATAACGTCAGGGAGTACTAACACAATGCTTATCCTGGTTTCTGTTTGGTATTTAAATAATTACAAAGTAAGAATAAAAATACACGGATTTTTTAATCGTTACTAATTATTTAATGTACACGTTGAGCTATCAACAAACAGTCCCCACTCCAGTTCGGTAGGTGGCGGTAAACGCGCCTTAAGTTAGTTTGCTAACCGCCAGGTAAATTCTAAAAGAAGAAGAAGTCGGTCTGTCCACTTTCATCATGGCTCCTCCAGTCGCAGTGTCACCGCTAATCAAGGTAAAATAACAAATATATTTTGCATGCAGTGGGAGTTACCTATTAATGGAAATTTGATAAATAAACTTAAAACTTAAAACTGTCTTTTATAGACAGACACAGGGACCTAAAGTGTGTTCCAGGCCATTGTTTTGGTAGCATGCTAACGGGCACTTGCTAGCTGACATTGAAGTCAGTTAGATGTATTTTGCTTCTCAGAACAACGACTAACTTCTTCCATATGGGTTATATAAAGCGCGTTATTGGTATTATCTAAAGTGAACTGCTATTTCACTTTACTATCTATTTATCTTCTGGCTTATGAGGTTAGTGATAAATGCAAGTCTAATGATCTGTAATTTGCACCAATTTAATGAAAATAATCTCTTCCCTCTATATAAATTGATATTGAAAATGTTCTATTTGTATAGTCTATAAAGGAATGAGTAAAAGATAAGTTCTGTGATGCATAGTGATGGGACTTATTCATACATTACTATCATTATTTAACTATCTCTGCTGAAAACTTTGTTTCTTGTTTAAGGCATTTAATTATTAGATTAATACAAATTGTACATGATATTATTTTAACCAGCACCAGCTGGCAGAATGATTTGTTTTGTTTTTTTCTGGTTTCCAGACAGCCAGATGGTCTGCTCTGCTGTTGGGAATGCTGTATGGGAAGCAGAGGTTTGGTAAGTGCAGACCCGTCACCAGACCTTAGTCTTAAAGGAATAGTACACCCAAAACATGATTAGCCTTCATTTTCTACTCACCCCCATGCTGAACAACACTCTGGAGTACTTTTTTGATATNGCTGAATGCGCACTTTCATCTGGTTTGGTCTGCCGCGGTTTCCATAGCATCGTGAACGCGCTTTCAGGAAATCCTATACACTACTGTTTGTACCTACTTTAATTGTCTGCAGCACTAACCTTTCCCCAGCCAGTAAAGCAGGAGGCAGCATTTCTCAGGCTGAACCTCCTTGTCGGTGCATCTTTCCACTCAGACTTGAATCTTTGCATCAGGTCCTTTTCAAAAGTGAGCTGAATAAGTTGGGCCTGGCATTTCTGGAGCATGCTGCATTGATGCTTGAAAAAAAAAAAAAGTTTTTAAGCCGCAGACTTGTTAGACCTGTTAATTGGCATCTTTCCAGACATTAAATCCCTTACTGGAGAAGTTACAGATTTGAATTTGCTGCAGCCTCAACAGAATGGCAACCCTTTCCACTGAGGCCCACCATGTTTCATCATGGTGATGGGTGTGGGTAAGTGGGCAGCTAAAGGATTCATTGCTGATATACAGTCACATTAAATTTGGGATAAAGGAACTTCCATTACTTGGGTCCCAGCGTTACCAAAAGCAGATCTGTTGAACAGAGATTAGCTTAACCTTAAAGATTGTTTATTTTGCGCCTTTTTTCCCCGAATTTTTCTTTTTCTAACAGCTGAATATATATATAGTCTAATCCTCCTCTGACAATTGTTTCAAATAAACAATATTACTTGTCATGGCCTTCTTTTCCAAATAGACCAAGATTTCCAACAAAGGCCACGGGTTGGTAACAGGTCGTTTTTGTTCTTTTACGCACTTCCTACTTGATTTATTCATTATAAAAGCAGAGACAACATAATTACTAAAAATGTCTAAATGAAAATTAATGTCAATTTAATGTTTGAAGCTCTAAAAAAGTGCTCTCGTCCACACTCCACACCAGACATTTTCCAAACAATCGACCTCCACCCAGCACCCGGTGTGTTCTTAATTACTCAAATTAATTGGAGGGTCTAACACTTAACAACGTAATCTAAACAATTCTAAATGTAAAATAATTTATTACAAATTTTGGTTCTACTTTAACTTAAATATATAATAACTACCCAAAGAAGAAAACTAAATTGGTAGCAATTACAACCTACAAAAATTTAGCGTAAATGGTCACAACATTACTAATGTGGTTACTAGCATTGCAATAATACAGAGGGTCATATCTCCAAATTCTCCTCCTTGAGGAAATGGGAGAGTTCTGTAATTTTTATCACATGTACAATTTAACTATGAAAAACAAAATGAGAAGGGGGAAAAAGGATATTGCATGGTAGGATTTTTAAATGTACAGTATTTGTAAATTAGGGTCAAAAGTAGGTATTTATATTTGAGGTCTTTAGTCTGGTTAGGCCACTTTAGGACCTTGAAAAGCATTTTAGCCACCCCTGGTCGTGCTGGAAGACCCAGCCATGTTTCATTTTTTTATGCTCTCACTGTTCGAAGGAGGTGTCTTAGAATCCTAACAGTGGCCCAGTTCATTCCTCCCTGAACACTGATCTTTCAACCTTTCTCTTAAGCATTATGCTTCCACCCTCATAGGAAACACCCATCTCGAAAATGTTAGCTTATCAATTTTTTCCTCTTCTTTTTGGGGTTTATATTTTGTACTTACAGAAATACTCTTTGAACTGGCAGTACTGTTTTTGTTTGTTTTTTAAGATTACCTAAAGCCTATTGCTGAGGAGGAGAGGAGGGTTGAGGAGGCAGAAAAGAAGCTCAGAGAAGAGCAGGAGCGCATCTACAAACAACTGTCAGAAGGTAAAAAAAAAAAAAGCAATATTTTTGTAATATTCTCCACTTTTTGGTCAACTACATACAATTTTCTTATATTTGTATTTTATACTTACTTTCCTGTTTTTGTTTGTTTGTTTTTTCCTTTGCAGCAAATTCTGACACCATCCTCAAATGAACTACCTATGGTCCAATCCTGATCTCAATAAAATCTCCAATGTTTCTCATGCCTTCATTTTAGTGTGGCTGTGTTTTATTTGATGATCTTTCATACCAAAACAGTATCATTTTTTCCTATGGAAACATTTCAGGGGCATTACAGGTAGTTGGAATACATACTCCTGTCCTTCAGAGACAGATGAGCCCTGGGAAAAGCATTCCTCTAATCCCAGCCTAGTTTAGCTTTAATCCAAGGATTAGGGTCAGGGGCCAGTAGTAGAAAGTGCAATGTGGCCAGAATTTATCCTTCAATACTCTTCAGTTGTGTAACATTCTAACCCTCATTATAAAGGGAACGATATTAATGAATGTTACAGAACACTACAGAAGATAGTAGGTATTTGTGAATTAGTATTAGTTTCATGGTTCAACTCTAGAAATGATTGTTTAAATGTCTCTTTTTTTTTTTTTTTTTTTAAGTCTTGTGTCTGAGAAAAGAAAAAAAAAACTTACCACTGCTGGTTTGAAAACCAGATCTGTCAGTTCATTTTTACTGGGAATAGAGTTTAACTTTTAAAAAATAAACTGAGACAACTTTAAAAATACATCTGCTTTATTTAGGCCGTCATTGTAGACAAGGAACAGGCAATGAGGCAAGCTTTAACTCTGGCTGCAAAACAAAATAACTGCATTACATATATAACAGCTGTATCAACATACAGGTTCAGATATTACCTAATATATTTATTTTTATACATCCAAGCCTCAATTTCTACTAAAAAGTGTAATTTAAGCTAGAATGATGCACTCGTGGTTCAGAGAGAGCTGTGTATTTATCAGATGGCTCCTCTGCAGATCTCTAATAAAAATAAGCATTGCTATTTTACCTTGAAAAATATTTTTGAATTTATATATTTACAAGATAAGCAGTATGTACATGTTGTTAAAGCCAGGCTGCTCCTTTTAGTTGGTTAAAACCTTTTTGTTTCCCAGAAGTCAAAATGTTAAGCACTGCTGCCCCGCAGCACCACAGTCCTGGGTTCAGGTCCTGGACCTTATCTTTTATAGTTTACACGTTCTTTGCGTTTCTTTAGGACGTGTCAATTTCTTCATTTAGTTGCATAAAGTTCTTCATTCTCTTGAAGATGTAGCATTTGGTCACCACTCATCTCCATCACTGAGCTTAATATACTGACTTATTTTTAAAGCAATTTAAAACCAACTTAACATTTTATGTACTTTATAAAATGTTGTCTTGGCCATGCTCTTTCCCACACACATGCATACACACAGACTCAGTATATACATTAAAAAGGCATCACAGAGAAGCAACTACAGACTTCACTGATTGCACTCTCACACATCTATTGCACAGAAATAACCTGTTGCTTTGCCTCACTAATTCTAGCACAATGTAGATATAGATCTCTGGAGTCAAGGTAAACAGACTCTCATTTGTAAATATTGACTGGAAGGAGTGACCATTAAAAAAACTATGTGGTCAATGTTCTACTTTCAGTTTGACCTTGTTAAAGTCTAGACTTTTCCATAAAAATCTAACAGAACTACGTTTTCTTTTTGTGTATTACAATACTTATGGAGCAGGTGTACTATTTGCTATGTGAAGTATTTACAATGGTTTTGTGACACCTGCTAGAATGAAACAAAAAACAAAACATACAAAATATTATTTGTACAGAAGAAACAAGGCTCAGAACAGGAGCACTATAAGAACCTAGTAATAATTCTTAAAAGGTAACTGATCTTTTTGGAACAAAATAATTTAAATGAAAAAACAAATTAAACATTCTATTTAAATACAAGATTATATCCAGGACCTCGGTGCTGTCCTGGTGTCCTTGTCCTGGTATAGAAGAGCAGAGTTTTCTCTATGAAGAAGTATTTATGGGTTTATAAAAGCATTTTCAAGTTCCTGATTTTATAACTTTTTTGCTTGCCAGTGAATCTGATACATGTTTCCTGTAGTTTTCACATGATTCTGGATTTCCCATCTTCAGTGTCTTTTAGCAAATGGAGCAAGTCTTGGAGCCTCCATCGCTGGGGTTGTTTGCAGCACCTATATGAGACAAAAAAGAAAAAAAAAGTACATCTCTGAGTGAACATTAAGCCTGGAACATTCTTGTAGTAAGGAATGTGTTACTAAATGTTTTCTACGACCAACATGTTGATCAAGAGTTCATTGATCACTACGATAGGAGGCCACCCAAACAATATACATCCTATTTCCTTCAGACCTCTGATAATAAACTATTAGATTTTGGAGTGCACAGCACACCACCACAAGACTGTAAAGCAACCATAGTGGAGACAGTGACCCCAGCTATGAATATTGTTGAAGACTGGGGAAGAAACTCCAACAAAACAGCAGTCCCCCATTTTTTTCTGAAATGATCCTGGCAATTTATGAATGTATATATAAATATATATTTTGAGCTGAACATTTTTAAAATTGAATTTCGTTTGTGTCTCCTTATGTATTTGTTTTTTGCAAAGGAATCCGCCCCTCTTCCTTTATAGTTTTTAATAATGTAATAAATTGTCTTATAGTCTCAGTTCTGTTCCATTTTCATCTTATACAAAAGCAGCTGGGATCTGCAAATAAGCATGATCCCTTTTGCCAAGTTGAGAAGTAGCTACACAGATTCATTGCTAAACTTCAATTGTTAGAGCTTAGGACTTTGTAAGTATAAGTTATCAATGTAATTATTATTAGCTTGTGGGGATGACGTAACAAAAGATTTAATGTCTTAGTCTGACTAGGTGAAACAAACGATCAGATAGTGACCAAGCATAATGAGTTACCTTTTGCTGCCTTAGCAGCTTCTTTTGCAGCGTTCTCTTCCTCTATGGCTTTAAGTTTAGCCTCATATTCCTCTTTCTTTGCGTTCCATTCTTTCCTGTTGTTAAGGATGCCATCAAGCATGGGTGTGATTTGTGGATGGAAGCGAGAAAACTCCTGTGAAAACATGAGACAAACAAAATAAAGACCAACGAAAATGTAATACGAAGCGAGAAATGAATCAGATGGTTGGGTTTGGCCCAACAATTACATTCTGGTTTACATAAATCAAAGACATATCAATAAATTTCAAATACACCATGCATGGCCTTTGTTGTGCACAAGGAAACAATTGAAGGCAGTACCTTGTAGACAAACGTGCAGACAAAGTCAATGAAACCACACTGGAGCTTTGGAAGGTCTGCTGCTTTATTTCTGTCCATCATTGGCTGTGGAGAGGACAATGCAGTCATTGTTAGGGCTAAGTCATTTATCAAAATAATTAATTTAAACTATTTTCAGAAGATTATTTTATGTTTATGCTTCAGTATCAATGTTACTCATTTGCAGACTAAATTTTCAAAACATTTTTACTTAGTATACTAAAAATATATGTGGAGGATGTAGCTTGATTCTAAACAAATTATTTTTTTTAAATAAAATCTCTTTATGTTATGAACTTAAATGTGTCTGCAGGCATTTATCAAATCTACTTTAACTTTCAGAGAATTGCAAACTCACAATCGGTTGCTGTTCCAACACTGTCCTCTCCAAATCACCTTGTTCCCAGAACTCTGCAGCCACAGACAATGCAACCTGAAGAATAAAGATACAATGATTTGTGACTGAGCAACCAGCTTTCCACTTTGCTGAGTTTTTTCATTGCCAATACTCTAACCTTGCTTTGTACTTCCCAGGGCTTTGTGATGGCAGACAAGTCACATGCTGTCATCATCATGGCCCTGAAATAACAAATTACAAAAGTTAGAAATGTGCAGGACTGAAGAAACATGAATGCTTTTATTTCACTCACATGACAATCTCTTTTCTGGTTGTTTCTAGAGACATGAAGTCCACCCATTTCTTCTCATCTTCATAGGTTTTTGAAAGGTCCACAATCTTTTGGAACATTGTTCGCTTCCTGTGATAGAGAATTAATTATCTAATATATTTAAAACCAATGATAAATATATAATAGGTTTAGATCAAGGTTGAGAGGCAGCACTAACTTGAAATAAAGAGCCAGGTCAGTGGCGATGATAGCAATATCGGTAAGATGGATCACATGATCAACCTGCCGCCTGTTCAGGTTCTGGTAGATATTCAGTGACTGCAGATAAAATGCAGAGTTAGATAAGACAAGTAGTTTACGTTAGGTTAAACACCAAGTTCCACCATTTTCTGTTACCTCATCAGAGAGAAGGAACTTTCCAAACTCTAGATGGTGTCGTTCCAGGATGGAGGAGCCGTGTAACTTGGCCAGAGGGTTACCAGATCTGATGAGGGATATAAGAACAATTCCTAAATATTTGCCAGCTAAGTCCCCCTCAGCCATCTGAAATTAAACTGAGCGTTGACACATTAAAAAACTCCAAACCTTTTAAACTCTTATTCAGTCCAGTTTTATCTTCTAGTTTACATAGGACACCAGTGTGAAAAATTATAAAACCTTAAAGCTTCTTTTCCATGGAACAGGATAAACTTTTGTCATGTGGTATTATTTAATCTTACTTATACTTACTTATCTTATTTATAATAAGGACATTGGCTCCCAATGTCAGCTTTGTGTGCGTTTGCGTAAGTCAGACTCCATATATAAACATTTTTCTATTATTGTAACATCTGCTGTTTGAGTGAAAGTCAGTTTTACCATTTGCATTTATTGAATTCTCATTAATTTATTTGTCTTTCTATATATCCCAAAAATGTTTTTTTTTTTTTTTTTTTTTTTTTTTTAAAGCAATCCACTGGACTTTGTTTCCAAGTTTAAAGACATTTGGCTTCCCATCCAGGAAGCTTTTTCAATTCAAATTCTCAGAAATAGCGTTGAGTCTTTCTTTAAGATAAACACTGGTAAGTCTGAACAAATGTGTCACCTGCTTATTTATATCCAGATACTCAACAAAATATGGATGCAGTTCTGATATATTTTGTTAAGAAAAGCTCTGTGTTTACACCTTGAAGCTTTCTCTTCCTGATTCTTTCCTGAGAAGAGTTCACTTGGGAAAAACTCTTTAAATAACACTACATAATGTATATGTATTAAATATCAATGAGACTTGTAAAAAGATTATGACAGAAATTGTGATCTTAGTCAGTCCATAGAAGTTACTTAGGGTAATGGAAGACAGCTGCTTATCAACCGGGGCATATCTCGTTGAAGTGGCCCCGACTCACAGTTAAAGAAGCATTTTATACAACTCCAGTATGCAACATGATCACACATTATGTAATACACGTTTGCAGAGGAGGCGACATCCATGGCTCAAGCCTTATCAAAATATTACACTTTGTTCTTAGATAAAGGACAGCGCTGTCATTCCATTCCTAAATCTTTGCCATGTTCAGAATGAAGGTGACCTTTTATCCTGACAGAGGAACTGTCCTAATTATATGAACTAGTTTGGAAAACATTATTTCTAACACAACAGGCAGGTATTATTAGGGGTTAGCTGACTCACACATCACATCAACAACAATAATCCTAACAATTTAAAACAAAGAGTTCAGCGCTGTTTCTGATACCTCAGAGAACAATAAAAAATGTATTGTTTTATTTAAGGCAATGACTTTTGAATCTCCATGTTATTTCGGCTTGTTATTGACTTGTTTCTTCTAAATCCTATTCTTTTAAATTGAGTGGAATGCATGGTTCATTAAATAATTTAAATCCAGTTTAATCTAAGGAACAAGCAATTTTAATACATATTTGTCTTTTTTGAAATAACTATTCCAACAGACGTTTACACTATTTTATATGAAAAGAAGTGCATTTAAATGAGTAAAGAGAGGAAAAATTGTATCCACTTACTTGACCTGGTACAAGTTGTTTGTTCCCCTGTGGTCAATATCATGCAGAAATCCTGCTGTGATCATAGCCATAACTTCTAGATCTGTGTAGTATCGCTTCAGATGTCCTGTCTGAGCACACAGGATGAAAATATCAATATGAAGCATTTTGAAGATTAGACAATAACTGAACTGGTTTTAAGGGTGTGTTTTTTGTTTCTTTTTTAACAAATACCGTTAACAATGTGAACATGGTCTGTCCCACGTTGAAGCCGTGACGCCAGTTGTGGTAGGTGATTTTTCTGTAGCCTTTACTGACTGAATACATGAAACGAACCAGCACCTTGATAGAAAACAAATAGTTATGTCTCCAACTTGTTGTGCTCCTTAGTAAAACTAGATGGTTTTTTTTATATGCAACTATTTTACTTCTTGAGGGATCTGGAACTTCTTCACCACGCCGACTTCATAGTACATCTGAATCCCGCACTTCACCAGATCCAGTTCTGTGCAGTTAAAATCCGAGAAGCGGAACTCGTAGATCTCATATTTCTTGATAAGAGGAGGGAGATCTTTTTTCTAAAATTATAACAGGAGAATATGTAAACTAAGTGACAAAGAAGAAGGCATGAATAGTATTTTGAATTACATTTTCTCCCTGGTCATACACTGCAGTATAATTGTATATGTATATGTACAATATACATATGTACTATACAAATTAAGCATTACTAGAATCTCTAAAAGATCTTCTTCTTCACACTCCCAGGGTTCGCAGTTGTAGAGCTCTCTTGTGTTCTAGAAAAAAAAGTGTAATTTTAAATTTAACTAATTAAACCTAATGGGAAAAATCCAAAAGCAAATAAAAAAATAACTTTAGAATTAAAAAGACAGTGAAATGCATTGATTCTTTTTGACCAAGGGGATAGACTTCTCTAAGCCTAACCCATAACACCCATATTTATTCTTACTGCACCTTCATTATATAACCCAAATCCTTTATCCCACTCCATTTACTAACCCCAAACCATTAGTTTCTCATGCCTTCTGTGCGTTTTGACTCCTAATACTGTTAATACAACATGTACATCACACCTTTTAACTTGTTTGGATGAGTAACTGTTATTATTTTAAATGCATTTTGCAAAAATAGTCTATCCTTCCAAAAAGAAAATGTTTCAAATTAGCTGAAATTCAAGAATGTTAATTATCTTCTTTCCGGGGATGCTGGGGTTGTTAATATAGGTGACGTATCCTAACCATAATAGTTAGCAAAAAAAAATACGTATTACTTTTTCAGAAAAACAGGGATGATTGAAATACAATGCAAGATAATTAGCTTTTAACAATGGCTTTTCCTCAACAAAGCTCAAAGGGTGATAGAAAAAGTACCATCTTTATACCAGGGCAATATTCTGGGGTACATTTCTATTCATGTAATCAGAGATTTCTGGAGTAGAACGGAACTAATGAATTAAAATTTCCATTATTTTGATTTAAAGTTCCACTGACCAGGACATTTTGGATCTCATCATTTCGACATTTGACATGGTAGAGCACCATGTCCTGAGCGATGTCCTTCCGGTTCTCTAGCCTGTTCATCTTATCATACGTATCTGATATCAGGACTGACCATCCCAGGAACTGAGTCAAAGCCTTCGAATCAGAGATATTAACTTTAAAACACCACTTTATAAAGATATTAGAAATTTGTTGTTTTATGAATATAGTTTATTTGGTCAATTGACAAACAGACAGATCTGCCTGACCTCCATTAGATTTTCATCGTGATCATCAAAAGGCTTTCCATCCTTCCTGTTATAAAAGGTTGCCACACCGACTATTTCTTCTTTCTTGTTAACAATAGGAAGCGAGAGAACATTCTTTATGGTCCAGCCACTGCTGTCCAAAGCTTCTTTCTGCAATAAAAAAAGAAAACTCAGCTGAAAGAACTTGCAATTTTAACAGAAAAGAGAAATCAACACAACCAGCAATATTAAACTTAAATTTTGGGATAAACCATGTTTCCACAAAGAGTGATGATCAACCATTAGTATTTTGAGCTGATAATACAAATCTATTTAGAGCAAAAAAATGTCTTTATGGAGTTTTTTTCCATCTAAGTTGTAGTTTATTTTATTAACTCTATAAAATAGTTTGAAAGGAAGTTAGTATATGGTTTGTAATCTTAAGCAAACAACTTATTTGCGAGTTTTTATCAGCGTGCAGTTCCAAAAGAACTATTCAAAGAAGAATAGATTAATAGATTAAATTTTTTTGTGTCAGTTTTCAATTTGCATTGGTTTTGTAACTCCTAAAAATTAGATTTTCATTGTTTGTTTTGGTCTCTTCTTTAGTTTGACATCATTCATCTCAAGACTGACCATATCTTATATTTTGCTAGTATAAATTTTTTAAAATATAATTTTATGTTTTTATGTCATAATATAAAAAAAGAAGAACTATCAGTCCCTTTCTAATGTTTTCTGAAGATGGTCCCTATCCCTAACCGTGTCGTCTTCCACTGATCTGAGATCAGAGTGGGACATGAGCAGGACTTTGCTAAATGTGAGTCATCAATCTTTAGCAAAGACGGGACTTTGTCAAACACCTGGAAAGGTTAAAAGTCTCACCTGGAATTGAAACGTCTCATCAGCAGCTGCATTCATGATGTTGCAAATCTAAAGGGAAAAAAAGAAAAATAATAAATTTTGCATTAAATAATTTAACAACTACCTGCACTCATTGAAAAGGAAACTCACAAATCCACTCTCAGCAACATAAGTAGGAAGGCCGCTGCTCAAGGCCCAGTGGTCTGCAGGTGGAGTTCTTTGTGACAAATTGAAAGAGAAACATCAGCAGATGTGGCTATAAATTACATCCATTATGCAACTGATTTATGATAATCAATATAATAATTTTTAAACCACTATGAATAGTGTTTCCAGTGACCGAGCATGAAACAGAGAACCGTTGATGTACTTACGGAATAACTTTGATGTCTTCTTTTCCATGCAGGATGTAGTCGATCACTTTGTAGAAAATTACCTCCTGAAGGGTGAATTAGATAGATTAGAAACACAGACCAAAACAAGGAATGTTGCAATAAATAAAGACTTAATAGAGAAGTGATAAAACAAGAAAAGTTAGATGAAATAACGCACCCTTCCATCAGGAGTTACGGGGCCGCTGTACGGGGCCTGCTCTCCCATCAGCACCGGCCAGATGTCAAAGAATTCCTAAAAGAAGGAGGGGGACATTCAGTAAGTATAATGTAAAAAAAAAAAAAAAAAAATTAACAAATTAAGGTGAGAACTTAAAGATAGACATCAAACCTTTTCCTTTGTCATGTCTAATAAGCCCACAGAATAACGGTCACAGTTAAGATAGGCTCTGACTGTGTACAAGGCTTTGTGAAACTGTCGCTCAATGTCAGTCAGCTCTTCAAACACCTTGTTGGCAGACCACAGCAGCAGCTGTAAGGAACATAACAGAGTTTTAGCATTTCATTTCAGATTTTAAATGCAGCAGAGCAGTATAGAAATAATAAGGGTTTATCTAAATTTTTGCTGGTACCTGTCCTTTACGTGTCTCACAGTTGTGGAGGTAACTTAGGTGAAAGATCTTAAGGTTCAGGGAAGCAATTTTCAGGTACTTCAAGAAGAGCTGCAAACAAAAACATGAATCGCATGTTTACATATCAATTCCACATTATTGCACAGCAACTGCATGAATATATATCATGTGATGTAGCATGAAGTTGCACATAATGGTGAAGTGTAGGAGAAAATCATTTATCTCGCAGTGGTGAGCATCTGGAGTATTCAGAGAGAACCCACATTTGCCCAGGGAGAGTGTGCTAACTGAATAAAGCCTAAATAATTATATACTAAATAATAGCCCTTATCCCAATTTGAACCATATTTAGTAATTTCTTGCTGTAAGGCAACAGTGTTAAAGCTACGTCTTCATTGTGATTTTATCTTTGTGATGCTGTTTGTTCTCTAAAATTCTCAAACAAATCAGAGTTTTCGAAAAAAAAAAAAACAGCCAGATTTATATTGAGATCAAAATAGATAAATGTGGACATTCAAAGGGCTACTTTAGAGTCTTCGAGTAAAAGGTGCTGAATACAAGCACACATTTCAGATTTAATTTTTAAGCATCCATCTTCTTCCCCTTGTCTGTCAAGGTCATGGGGGGGTGGGTCCTTTCTCTGGCAGTCTATGGGAAAATGAAGGGATACTTCCTGGAAAAGTGATCTGTCCATCACAGGGCTGAGACATACAACAATGCACACACCTAAAGGCGATTTATATATACCAAACAACCTAACGGTCATATTGTGGGAGGAAGCCAGAGTACCTGGAGAAATCCTATGCATGCATAGGCCGAACATGCAAACTTCATGTAGAAAGACGGTAGGCCAGGAATTTAACTCAGGACGTTCTTGCTGCAAGGCCACAGTGCTAAAAACTGCCCCTACGTTATGCTAACGAGCATAAAATTCAATATATAATTTCTCCCAATACACAATTATGCATCACTTTCTGCTGATCCATCACATAAAATCCAATTAGTGTGTTGTTTGTTATAATATCACAAAATGAGACCAATTTTAACTCTGACTGGTAATGGATATTCTGTGATTATTCTTTCATTATTTCGAGCATTGATCTTACAGTTTTAGTTTAGTTTTTAATTGAAAAAAAAAGCTTGAAATGAGATTCTGGTAGTTACAAGTAAATTATAACCTAAAGATGAAGATCATTGTAAAGTGTGTTTTAAAACTAATTCACCATTTTGTTAGTAGTTGACCTTTTTTTCATACATGAATAGGATAAGTTGATTATCTAAAATTTGATAAAATAGTGCGAAGTAATGAAAAGTATGAAGCCAAATTTTTTCTTTTGGCATCATTTTGATCAATATATGACAAAAGGTAAACATTTTGTTGTATCTTTTACTGTACATACAGTGAGATAAAATGTATCGAATTATTATCAAAACCTTGCAAATATCTCTTTTTCAATTATTTAAATCTCAGAATTAGCAAATGGGTTAATTTATTTATATTTCTTTTATTTCACGGAGCTCAGGGTAAATAGAACAGACAGACAGACAGACAGACAGACAGACAGACAGACAG